AGAGAGAGAGAGAGAGAGAGAGAGAGAGAGAGAGAGATTACTTTTATACACACATTACTTGTATTAATAATTCCTACTTCGTCGTTTATTCACTTATCGTTGGGCTTCAGGGTACAGATCCCCCGCGATAAACAAGGGACTACTGTATATAAAGGTTGAATGAATTGAGTCATGAGGACTCATTTAAAAAAGAGACATGTTTTAGACATAACATAAAATACAGACGACAATAAACTACATTAAAATGCAAGTCAAATAAAAATAGTGTTATAAAACCATAAATCAAGATGCCATATAAAACGAGGTAAAATACTAAAAACAAGAACTTAAAACAAATAAAGCATACTTAATATGTTTATAAATATGTATTTGTTTTGTATTTTTATAGTACTTTGTAAGTAGATCACTTGGACTTGGTCATTTTAAAAGTAGCTTGCATGCTGAAAGTATGGGCACCCCTGGTTTAGACTTTTATGAAGCTAAAGGGGGAAATGACATTAACAAAAGCAACTCCAAAGGGAAGTGATGTACACGTTTCACCCTGTAGGTGGAAAATGGATAAACAGATGGCTGCAGCTGCGAACTAGGACCATCAAGTGAGTAATGTCAAAGTTTTCACCTGACAGAAAAGGTGATGTGAATTACACAGTTCATCATAAGGAGGATCTGTGGTGGAAGTGGTCTCCAGCTACAAGTACTTGGGTGTGCATCTGATTGACAATCTCAGCTGGAGCAACAACACCACCAGCCTGATGAAGAAAGCTCATCAGAGACTCTACTTCCTCAGATGGATGAGAAGAGCTGGTCGGAGAAGCTCAGTCCTCACCTCCATCTACAGGTGTGCAGTGGAGAGCATCCTGTGCTCCAGCATCAACGTGTGGCATGGAGGCTGCACAGCTGCAGAAAGAAAAGCTTTGCAGAGAGTGGTGAAGGCTGCACAGAAGTCTGTTGGAGTCAGCCTCCCCACCATCACAGACATCTACACCTCCAGATGCATCATGAAGGACCCCACTCACCAAGCACACACACTTTTTGACCCGCTCCCCTCAGGCAGGAGGTTGTGGAGCATTAAGTGTCTTGAAGCTGTTTAGAGCCACTATAGGACATGATAATCTCAGCAACCACTACACTTTACATCCAGACCAAAACAAAGTCATGGGAACACTGAAGAAAGTGGGTGAGATAACTTTTGATGGACATCCACTGCTGCCACAGAATATTATGACTGTACTGAACGTTTTGACTCCCTTTTTAATTTAATTTCCCAACTCGTTTGCATGAAAACTGTTTTATACTACAGTGTAGAGCAAGCGACACAGGTAGCTCAGTGATCAGTGCAGCAGTCTTGTAGTCCTGAGGCAGCAGGTTCGAGCCCAAGTTGTATCAGGGAGGGCATCTGGCATAAAACACTTGCCAAATCTCTTTGAGTTTGCTTGCAGTTGTGACCCCTACGCAAAGAATTAGCTGAAGAAAAACCACTACTACAGTGTAAATATTTTGTTTCTTTTAGGTCTGAGACATGCTATGCTCAGTATTCTGTTTGTGTGATTATGGATGCATCATAATACATCGATCTTCATTTTATAATTGCATTCCAGCTCTCAAAATTGTAAATAAATTGAATCTAGAAGTTCCCACCCCTAGTCATAAAGGAGATGGTTAAAATGAATGGTTCTTTTGCAACAAATTAGCAGATGATAGTCCTGTCGTTAAAGGGTTTCTTCATAATATCTTTATCAGTTTTACTAGAAAAGAATGGTTGTATGCAGATGGATGTAAAATACAACCATCTTAAGGACCTCTAATATACAAGGGTCATTCTTTTGCCTTTCAGCAAATCTTATGTGGGTCAAGACTGATGAGCATATTTTGTACCGGTTCAAAATTATTTTTAGGTTATCTAACTAATTGTTTTTAGCTAACGAGTTAGTGCTTAAGCATTACACAGTGACTTTAGAAACACATTTATTAAAAATACAGCAACAGTCCGCTATCCTAACGTCACCTGTGTTTATCTTAAAATATCTCAAAACTAGACATTTAAAAAAAAATTGTCTTTGGTTACTTGTAAACTGGAAGAGGAATTACATCACCAAGTATAAAAGTGGCATCGTTCAGAAGTATTAGGGTATTTTCATAAGTACAAGTACGAGTACTTGAAGCTGGCATCGGGCCATCACTATTACTGTCACATCGTCTTTGTTGGAAGTGCTTCAGAAACTAAGGTGTCAGTTGTTGAATGGTCTCACCTGTAACCTGAGCTCCACAGCAGCCTGCTCCACCGCTGCACTGTTCTCTCAGACTGGACAGCTCAGACTCCAACATTTCCAGTCTGTTCAGGATGTCTTTCATGTCTGGCAGGTGGTTGTTGCAGTCGCATGCCTTTTTGGGAATATTGATACGGTGGGTGAAAACGATCTGGTTGTCTCCATCCATCGTGTGCTCCATGTGCTCGCTGTTCTGCATGTCGTTGGAGGCGCTCTTGTGATTGAGCTCTGTGCCTCCTGGTGAGTCCAGGTCCACAGAGCAGAAGGAAGTGGAGGGGACGTTGATGTTGTAAACATGGTTGAACACCACCGGCTGGTCGGGATGGGGCAGGGTCAGATTTTCCTGGGGTTTTTTGGGCATCAGGGCCTCTCTACGGTGGCGGATGATCTTCTTGACCAGGCCAGCATTGGAAAGATGGAGCAGCACAGCAGCAGTAATACAACTCAAGAGGAATCTTTTCATCCCCATGATGACAGTTTAATACAACAGACTTTGAGATGGTAGCAGCTGAGTGTAAGGAATTCAGTATCAAATGGATGCTTGGGTTCTGTCCTGAGTCCTGTCAAAAATACAGAACAAACCCATCAAAACAATGAGAACAAAATGTTTTTTAATGTTCATATATTTATGTAACTCCAGCTTACAGCACAGTGCATTATGAACTACTACAACTGCTGTTGATCAAAAACAGTATTGTGTTAGCGTTTTTGTTGATTTAAAAAAGGCCTTTGACACTATTGACCACACCATTCTCCTTGAAAAACTGAATAAATACGGCATTAGAGGACTAGCACTACAGTGGGTATCCAGTTATTTGAATAATAGGAGACAATTTGTACAAGTAAACGATGTAAGATCTGAATTTTGTGTTAATGGATGTGGAGTCGGGCAGCACGGTGGCGCAACTGGTAGAGCTGCTGCCTCTCAGCGAGCAGGTCCCTGGTTCAAATCCCAGTCCGGGGGCCGTTCTGGGTGGCGTTTGCATGTTCTCTCAGTGCATGCGTGGGTTTTCTCCAGGTACTCCAGTTTTCTCCCACAGACCAAAAACATGCATGTTAGGCTGATTGGTAACTAAATAGTCTCTAGGTGTGAGTGAGAGAGTGAATGTGTTTGTCTCGTTTGTCTCTATGTGTCCCTGTGATGGACTTGCGGCCCATCCAGGGTGTACCCCGCCCCTCGCACAGTGATTGCTGGACATGGGCACCGGCGACCCCTGTGAGCCAAAATGGAAGAAGCGGGTAAAAGATAATGGATGGATGGATGGCTGTGGAGTCCCTCAAGGCTTTGTGTTGGGACAAAAGTTGTTTATTTTGTATGTGAATGATCTGGTTGATGTGTCGGGACTTTTGAAGTGCATTTTATTTGCAGATGATACCACATTTTTTTGTTCAGATGAAGATATTGAACGGATGTTAGGGATGATACTGGCAGAATTTGTAAAAATACTAACTTGGTTCCAGCTTAATAAGTTATCATTATCCCAAAAAAGTTCAATCTGGTCCTCTGGACATTCAAAAAAAAAAAAAACAACAAAAAACAAAACAAAGCAAAAAAATATAGAAACGTTTCGTCTCTCATCCAAGAGACTTCCTCAGTCTATTTAAACAGCTGTTTAAACAGCACCTCAAACTGAGGAAGTCTCTTGGATGAGAGACGAAACGTTTCTATATTTTTTTGCTTTCTTTTGTTTTTTTTTTGTTTGTTTTTTTTTGAATGTCCAGAAGACCAGATTGAACTTTTTTGGATTTTTTTACCTGGATTATTGAGCATGCATCAGGATATTTTGAAGTTATCATTAAATTTGGAGGAAAAAGCCAACATGATATTTAGTAATAGAAAGAAAATTATCGAAGTCTCATTTAACATTGACAGTATTGAAAATCCTAGAGTTAATTAAATATAATTTTTGGGTTTCGTTATTGATGAGAAGCCGACATGGAAATCTCATGTAAATTACTTAAAAATAAAAATAGCAAAATCAATTGCATTACTGTATAAAGTAAGAGTTTTTGAATGACAAAGCTTTGCATATATTTTATAATGTAATGATTGTTCCATATTTAATCTATTGTATTTGTATGTTTGGGGAAAAGCATGCAAAACAATTACAAATCCTATTTATATTTTACAACAAAAAGCTATAAAAATTATTAGTATGAAGTGCTATGGTCACCCAACAAATATATTTTTTCATCAATTGAAATTATTAAAATTTTATGATTTGGTTGAATATAGTATTTTACAAGTCATGTATAAAGCTCATAAAAATTATTACCCCCAAATATTCAATTAAAATTTGTTAAAAAAAGAGAGTCATTATAACCTTAAAGGAATGTTTGTAAAACCTGCATTTAGAACTGGTCTGAAGGAGCTGCGTTGTAATTCAGGGAACAGGATGTGGAATTGTCTTGACATCAACATAAAAATGTCTAAAACAATTTATATGTTTAAAAAGATGATTAAGTTAAAATTGTTAGGAAAGTATGATACCATGTAAAGAATGCCTGATGTTTTTTGTTTTCACTTTGGAGTTCAAGCCTGAATTGTTGTTTGTTTAAAATTATTTTATATTTTTTAAATAAGGGGCAGATATTTTAAGAATGTTCTTCTTCTTTCTGCACCCTTTTCATTCAATGTTTTTTTTTTGTTGATGAAATTGTTTTGTTTCTTTTAAATGAATAAATAAATGAATAAATAAAAAAATAATAAATTAACTACTTTACTCTATCCATTCACACATGCACATCTCACATCAGGGAAAACAGCTGGAGTAGAATATCAGCACTGTGTGACTAAAAAAAGCAATTAACCTTGGCTGTAACAAAGGAACACCTCAAGTCCTGTTGCTGTCTTTGACCCATTTTATCCCCCCTGCTCTCAGTGGAGGCTACAAACACTTAGTGGATGCCAGTGAGGCACAATTCCTCCAAGTACAGAGAGCAGCAATTACAACCGGGGCAGCGTGTCACCTTCAGGCAAAAAGTCTTCATTCTGGCCATGTCCAGGCAGGTTGCCATTATCCAAATAGTCCTGGCAACACCTGCAAGATGGCAATCCACCTCTTCTTTCTGTGGCCCAGACCACAACCCAAGCTGACAGATTAACGCCGGTGTGTGGTTACACCATCTGTGGGCTTCCCATAAAAGCACAAAGGGCCCTCTTTACCCCAGAAACTGGAAAGTCAGCATTCCTGGAAAACCACAGTTTTTTTTATTACTCCTGTATGATGATTGTGATGAGTAGTAGGTGTTCTTTTTGTAAGGGTTTACTAAAACTATGTCAAAATTTGATGGTGAAACCAAATATAAATTGCAATATTTTGTAGTTATTTGACCATTTAACAAATTCAACATGAATTTAATTGTGTGGCACGTCACTCAGTGAATGATGTTTGAAAAATATTGGTTTCTGTTGCATCTTAATGTGTCTGCAGTCCATCCATCCATCCATCCATCCATTATCTTTACCTGCTTCTTCCTTTTCGGGTCACAGGGGTCACTGGTGCCACTGGTGCCCATGTCCAGCCATCAGTGTGTGAGAGGCAGGAGACACCCTGGACAGGTCTCCAGTTCATCACAGGGCCACATAGAGACAAACGAGACAAACAACCATTCACTCTCTCACTCACACCTAGAGACAATTTAGAGTTACCGGTCAGTCTAACATGCATGTTTTTGGTCTGTGGGAGGAAACTGGAGTATCTGGAAAAAAACATGCATGCACTGGGAAGACATGTAAACCCTACCCAGAAAGATCCCTGGCCAATGTTTGATCCAGCAACCGTCTTACTGAGTAGTGACAGCTCTAACTGTCTATCATTCTGTCTATCTCCGATTATTTTATTCCTAATCTAATCCATTCTTCTCACTCCCAAGGAGAACCTCAAATCTGCTCTTTTTCACTTCTCTTTCTTGTCTTTTTGTTAATGCCACTGTCTCCAAACTACTTTGTATACAACATAACTGGTCTTGTGACAGTCTGATAAACTTTACATTTGACTTATACTGCCACCATTTTGTCACAAATCACTCCTGAAACTTTTCTCCATCCTGCCTGGACTCTCTTTTTCACCTCTTTATTACACTCCCCATGTTCCTGGACAGTGGACCCCAAGTCCTTGAAGTCCTGCACCTTTGTGACCTCTGCTCCTTGTAGCCTCACTGTTCCACTGGCCTCCCTCTTATTCACACACATGTGATGAGCATGCATCAGGACACACACATGTACTCTGTCTTACTACAGCTGACTTTCATTCCTCTTCTTTCAAGTGCATACCTCCACCTCTCCAAGTTCTCTTCCACCTGTTCCTTGTTCTCACCACAGATCACGTCATCTGCAAACATCATAGTCCACGAGGATTCCTGCCTGACCTCATCTGTTAGACGGTCCATCACCAGAGCAAACAAGAAGGGGCTCAGAGCTGATCCTCTAGTCTATGTGGTCCCACCTTCCCACTACAGATCATCTTTCAGCACCCTGTCAGATGCATTTTCTAAATCCACAAAGACACAATGGAGTTCTTTCTGATCCTCTCTGCACTTCTCCATCAGCATCCTCAAAGCAAAGATGGCATCTGTGGTGCTCTATCTTGGCATAAAACCATACTGCTGTTTACAAACAATTACCTCTTCTCTAAGTCTAGCTTCCATTACACTCTCCCAGATCTTCATTGTTTTGCTCATTGACTTAACTTATGGGGTAACTGTAGCTGAGTGGTTAAAACATCTGTTCTCTAATGAAAGAGTTGGGGGTTAAGTTCCATCAAAATGCACTCAAATGCCGAATTGTCCTTGTGCAAGACACTGAACCCCCCTCATTGCATCTGATGTGTGTCCCATTGGTTTATGAATGTGATCTAACATACAAATTTTTATTTATAAGATGATTTATTCCCTTTAGCTTTGTAGAGATTGTAGCAGCTGTGCTGTATGAATGTGCGTGGATTGGTAAATCAAGGCATAAATTGTGTTGTAAAGCATTTTAAGTACCTTTGTTGGAAAGAAAGGTGGTACAGTCCATTTACCATTCCATTCACTTAATTCCCTTGTAGTTGCTACAACTCTGTACATAACCCTTGTTTATAATATGGACACCAGCGCACTTCTACTCCATTCCTCAGAAATTTTTTCATTCTAAAATACAGTTAAATAATCAAGTCAAAAACCTCACTGCCATCTCCCTTTATATTTTCATCCCTGTAATGATGTGTCGTCAGGTTCAACTGCCTTACCCTTCTCCATGCTCTTCAAAGCTTTCTAAACTACATCCACACCAATCTTTCCCACTTCTTGGTCCACAGTTTCATGACCTATTTTGTGCTTTCCCTTTATTTGTCTTTATTAAATATTTCCTCAAGGTACACTTTCAAACTCCCTATCACAATAGAATATTACTATTTCTGGGTCTTTGCTATCTTTAACTAGCCTAACCTGCAGTGCAAGCTTTCTACGTTGGTGAAGATTCAAAGAACCCCATCTATGTTCTTTAAATTGAGAAAGCTCCTCGAATGCGAAGCGAAAACTCTTCTGTTACAAATAAAGTCCAGTTGTTTTTGTCTTG